ATATGCATAATTTAAAACCATACGGTGAGCTCCAATTTCTTCAGTAGTTCGTTAAGTTGGTTGCGAAACTTGTTGCTCACTGATGCGAATGCAAGCTTATTCGATAGTGATTTCTTACGATTGTTGTTCAGCGACCTGTCATTGCTATTTGCGGAGAAGAGATTTCGAACAAATGCCGAACTGAATAAAAAACCTCTTTCATTCTTCGCTTCTCCGCTTACTCAAAGTACCATGTAAGTCAATAGCTGAATGCATTTACGATATCACTAGCTTCTGCTTTTGGTAATATTCACAGCACAATGCCACTTGTTGCTTGACAATTTTTTCTCGTTAATGCTGCTTTTACTTGCTACAAACGGAGCATTTTTCCAGAAAGGAAACATATCAAGAAAATGAGTTTTTAGGGATTTATTGCATCACTTTTTGATTTCATTTTTCCACTTTGTTTTTTCAAGTTCATCTACATTTTCATGACTGCTAGTTATCTTTTAAAGAGCGAAAGTTTATGAGTATGTACCGATTTTTCATCTCAAGAATACAGGGCTGACACTTTGGGAATTTAATCTACATGCATGTACGGGCCCCAATCCCCAAAATGGGCGTCCTTACCTGCGTAGTACCCACGTAAGGGCCCGTCAAAGCTTTTTGCGAACAAGCTGGTAACTCGGGAACCAGAAATGCTAGAAAGCTGGAATTTTAAGACGTTCCCCATCCACGCAAAAGTATTAATGAGCTCAGATCCAGCCCCCGGGTATACGTGACACCCACGTGCGGGCCCGTGGAAGTTTTTTTTTGGGTAAGCTGCTAACTCGAGAACCTGAAAAGCTTGAAAACTGGAACTTTAAGGGGATGCTGCTCAGCTAGAAACATTTGCCGGAAAAACCGATGCGAGTAGCGACAAAAACTGCAGGGAACTACGCGAAAAACGCATTTTCGCGCCGGTCGCCGGTGCGTTGGCCAATTATCTTGATTAGAAGACATTCGTATAAAAAGTTAAACTCAGCAACCTCATGCCAGCACCTAACGAACCGAAAAATGATGGCAGAGTACGATGCCAAACCTTACTTGCTGCAGTCCATGAGCATTTCCAGAGATGCGTGCAATGCATCATTGTTTTTTTCCAGAAACAACGCTGTCTGATAGCAAACGGATCCCGCAAAATGACGTATTAGCAGCCCTTCGTCATCTCGCATGTCCCGATGCTCTCTTAGTTTGGATTTCCGCGGAGTCTGTAAAAGTGAAATTTAAAGCCATAACGATGATGGCCTTTGCAGCTCTTCGGGTTAAAGACGTGGTGAAGAATGACATATACTGACGTAATTAAACTTACTGACACTCTGAAAAAAATTTTTGGGCAGTAGCATTCGAATTTGTGCTTTACAGACTTGATTTTTCGCTTTTTATGCGTTTTTGCTGGCTTTTTGCTGGCTATTAGCGCTGCTACAGCCAGCAAAGACGTATATTGTTGAGAGGCTGTCTGTGTGTGTGCGCGCGCATTCAGGAGCGAATGCATTTTGTCACACACTTTCATCTCAGCAACCACGAAAGCTGGGAAGCTGAAACCTTGGGTATACGTTCCTACCCCGTGTGTCATCCTCCCGTTTCAAGATGTTGCCTCACACGCGCCTAGGCCACGTGTACGGGCCTCCAAAAAAATATATTGGTGGGAAACGATTTCGTGAAACATGCAAGATAGAAAGCTGAAACTTTGCAAAGATACTGTCGCCGAAAGGCGAGTCGTCTTGTTGTGCCTAAGATATTTTGTTTTGAAAATTGTTTCGAG